ACTTGCCCTTTTTCCAGTTATCTGGGACCTCCCCTGATTATCATTTTTCAAAGATGATAATGGCCAGTGGCTCTGCAGTTGCATCCGCCAACTCCATCAGCACCCTCAGATGCATTGTGTCTAGTCCCATGGACTTGTACATGTCCAGCTTTTCTAAACAGTATCTAACCTGTTCTTTCAACACAGTTCCCTGCTGACCTTCTCCCCAAACTGTGCTGCCATTGCAGAAGTCTGGGAACTGACCTAGCTGGTGAAGACCAAGGCGAAGAAGGCATTGAGTACTTCAGCCTTTTCCACATCATCTGTCAGTAGGTTCCTTTCCCCCAATCAGTAAGGGACCCAGATTTTCCCTGACCTTCCTCTTGTTGCTGACCTACTTGTAGAAACCCTTCTTGTTGCCCTTCATGTTACTTGCTAGCTGCAACTCCAGTTGCTCTTTGGCCTTCCTGACATTAATCCCTATATGCCCAAGCAATATTCTTGTACTCCTTGTTGGACAGCGACTCCATGTGGTGCCCAACAACTAGGAAGACGACATCCAATTGCTCATGGATCCTGTTACTCATTAGTCAGAGCAAGTAGGGAGCAAAATGCTACTTGCGCACATCGCTCACAACAGCTTTATCTAGAATGGAGACAGCTTTGGGTGAGCTTCCTCACAGACTCGCAGCCTGTGAACACGGGGAACAGCCGTGAAGAATAGTTCTTTCCACATTTATACACTTTTGGCTCATGCTTATTAACTTTCACTCCACTCTCACTCCTCTTTTTTGTTCCACACATTTCTCATCCTGTCTCAAGCTCTGCCTCCTGTTTACTGTTTGTTTCACTAGCATGGAATTTCCTATGCATTTCCTTCATTTACATGCCTCTCTGCTAAGAAAGCATGCGTAAGACTTTGACCTCTGCTTCCTTCGGTCACTTGCTGGTTTTTTTTTTAATTGTTTCTTGCTGACTTCTTCATCTCCAAGGTCTTGCTTCTCCTTTATCTCCTGATGATAGCTGGTGGGCTGCATCTTGTTCTTCTTGCACCATGTATGCTACACATTACCCCATTGTTAGAAAACTGCTTGCTTAAACATTTGCAAAGTTAGTTTTAATATACCATCCTGCCTTGTGACTAGCAGCTTTTTCTGAGACGCAGATTAAGAGCCTTCTTTCAGCTGCAAATCCAGTGCTCCCCAAGATCTGAATGTGATCACCCTAACACTCCACCCAAATTTTGACCAAACTTTCACCTCTTGTAGGCTTCCTTTCTGTATTTTAAGCTTACTGAAGAGTTCTCCAAGTCAAGCTAGTTGCTTGCCACATTTGCTCTTCTTCCTGTGCATGAGGATGGTTCCTGAACACTCAGTAAGGTTTCTTTAGAATACACTTGACTCTCCTGGACTCCCCCCCCCCCCCCCCCCCCCCCCCCCCCCCCCCCCCCCACCACCCCCCCAGCCACTCTCCCCCTCCACACATGCCATGCCAGTGGTTCTTGCCCATCATTTCCCTGCGTGAATTGAAGTCTGCTTTTCTGAAGTTTGGGGTCCATATTCTGGTGCTCTCCCTTTGTTCCTTTTGTCATGATCCTAAACTGGATCATCTTGTGGTCACTGCTGCCCAACTTGCCATCCACTTTTTATATCCACCACCAATTCTTCACTGTTTATGAGCAGGAGGTCAAAAAGAGAATGGCCCCTAGTGGGTCTCTCCAACACTTGCACCAGGAAGCTGTTCCCAATGCTCTCCAAAAATTTCCTGGGTTGCATTTGTACTCCCAGCAGATGTCAGAGAGATTGAAATCTTCCATGAGAACCAGGGCCTGTGATTTGGAAACTTCTGCCAGTTGTATAAAGAAACCCTCATCTTCCTGGTCTGGTGGTGATCACTCACCAGAACATCACCTTTTGTTGCTGTCCCCTCTAACCTTAACCCAGAGACATTCAACAGGCCTGTCTCCAGTTTTTATACTAGGGCTCTGAGCAATCGTGCAGCTCTTCTTAAGTACAGTGCAATTCTTCCTCTTCTCCCTGTCTCTTCTTCTTGAACAGTGTACCCATCCATGATAGTGCTCCAGTCATGCCAGCTATCCCATCAAGTCTGTTATTCCAAACATGTCATAGTTCCCTGACTGTGCGAGTACTTCCAATTCTTCCTGTTGGTTTCCCAGGCTCCATTCATGTGTGTACAGATACTTGAGGTGACCTAATTGATTGCCCTACATTCTCAGGAAGAACAAGGCCTCCCCTGTTGCCCCCTCCTGCTTGTGCTTCCTGCAGGTCCCCTACTTCCCCACTTACCTCAGGGGTTTGTTCTCCTTCCCCTGGTGAACCTAGGGCTTTAAAACTAGGTTAGCAAGCCTGTCTGCAAAATGCTCTTCCCTTTCTTTGTCAGGTGGGTCCTGTCTCTTCCTAGAAATCTTTCTTGAAACAACATCCCATGGTCAAAGAAGTCAACCCCCTGCTGAAGAAACCCACCTGCACAGCCATACATTGGTCTGCAGGATGCATCTGCTCCTGGCAGTGCCCTTTCCCTTGTCCGGAAGGATTGAGGAGAATATGACCTGTGATCCCATCCCCTTCACCCTTGCACTCAGAGCCCTATAGTCCTGCTTCATCTGCTCAGGGTCACCCCTGACAGTATCATTCATGCCCACATGAATGGGGTAGTAGTCAAAGGGTCGGACAAGTCTCGGTAATCCTTCCGTGACATCTCAGCTCTGGACTCCAGGCAAGTAGCAGACCACAAGACAATAGGTGAGACTAGCAGATGGATCTCTGTCCTTTGCAGAAGGGAATCTCTAGCCGCCATCACCACCTATTGCTGCTGCTGCTGCTTCATGGCAATGGTCTTAATCCTCCCCACCTTGGGTATTCCTGGCCTGGCCTCTTCAGCTAATGGAATGCTCTTCTCCTCCTCTGTTGCTAGTACTCTGTATCTGTTCTCCAGGCAAACCACTGCTCATGGGGATGATGACAGCTTCTTGCTGCTGGAAGATGCAGGCTTCCAGCTCCCACCTTCCTGGGAGTCCATGGCCCCTCTTTTTTCCTAGCATCACCTCTGACAGTCCTTCTTCCACCATCCTAGAGGTTTCCTCCAGCATAGAATCAATGAAGTCCTTATGGCGGAGGATGCTTTGGAACCTTGTTACATTCTCTTGTAGCTCTCTTTCCTTCTCCCTGGGGGATGCCACCAGAAGGCACCACTCACGCTGAAGGCACTTCCCCCACCTGTCTGACACTGGAAAGAATCTGCAAGCTGCAGTCTGCAGAGCACCAAACCAGGACCTGGGTGGAAGCCTCAACAGAGTGCAGTCCTGCCCAGACAGACACCTTGCAGTTGGAAGCAGAGGAAGACCTGGAAGTGGTAGTGGCTCTGGGATTGTGATGTCTTCTAATCTGTTGCCCTTCACTTCTTGTCTCTTTCCAAGCAGAACTTCCCTAGCAAACTCCTCTGTAGTGGGCCTGTTTGTTGTTCTTTGATCTGAAAGGAACAGCAAGCAGGCCTTTCCTTCACCCGCTTCCTGTCAGCAAGCTTACAGTGAATGAATGCAAGGGTTTCCAAGCAAACTTGCTAGCAAACTCCCCTTTGCTACGGACTTTAGTTAAAACAAAGGGCTTAAGTCTTGGTCTAGCTGCTGAGTTTCAGCTGCTAAAAATAAAACTGACTAGCAAACTCTTTGCTTCTCCATGTTCGTTGCTCCTGTGGTTGATTTGGTCTGTGTCCTTACATACTTCTGGGCCTGGACTGGCTAGGGCCCTTTGTCACACCCAGGTGACAAGGGCCATAATCATGTCACCTAGGTTGAGTTAAAGAAGACCAAAAAACCAAAACAAAAACAGCCAACCCCCCTGTCAGCACCGTCAGGTGATGGGGGACTTAGAATGGCATGGAAGAGAATGGGTGACCCCAAAATAAGGAAGGAAAGGAAAATTAACTGGTATATTGTGGGGAGTTTTGTTCTTTCTTTGTAGGGAACATCCTAACATTCTTTTTTGTTGCACCTTCTTTTAGAGTGCTTTTATGGCTGACTAGGGTGCATGCTTTCTTGTGGGCGGTTTTGGACTATTACGCTACCCTATGGTTCCTAACAACTGTGTATTCAATGACCCAGGTGGCTCTTCCAGTGCAACCTGTACAGAAAGTGTTCAGCTCTGAAAATGAAATGGCTTTTATAACAACATATTAGCAAATGGAACAGCCTTTTAAAAAAAGGGAGTTTTCAACTAATTACTTTTTAGGAGAAAAAGTGCTTAAACTTTGATATTCTTTGTTATTAGCTGCTGGCAAGGGTGGGTCAAGGGAATGGAAACTTGCATAATGCATTTTCTTAAATAGTTTTTTGTTTTCATGTCGGGAAGTGTCATGCTTTAAAATGGTTAAAATCAAACTGGCATAAACCTGTAAAACTGCAACAGTGTTCTAAAAAAAAATCCAAATGTTTTGGCTATTTACAAATCATTATATGGGATCCTAAAAAATTAAAACTGGGTAAGTGGTATTCTGACAGTGTCAAGTGTATAGCTAAATAGACCTTTTCACCACAGTACAAAAAAGGATAATGTTACCTTGCACCAGCAGTTGAATGAATAAATTGTCTTCCAGGTTTTAAGCTGTTACATATCCCTCTTCTCCCCTTTTATATACATAAAGAATCGTGTAAATGAAAACTAAACTCGAATAGCTTTCATAACAGAACACACAGCTGTTCCAATACTTGACTTACAGGTAAAATAATGGCAGGTATAGGGAAGTAATTATGTGAAAGCATGACTAATATGAAGGAAATAGGTTCTCCTGAAGATGAAAAGGGTTTTTCTCCCTTGCTTGTTTAACTTCATAGGTCAGCTTGCTTTAGGGCAATGTCTGCTTCCTAGGTGGGGGTGGCAAATAGACTGAATCTTTGGCCTCATCTCTCACCCCCTAAATTGGTGTTAGTAGCAAACCACTGCATTTTAACTGAAGAGTTATGATTTCAAACAAGATTTCCTTTTTTTTTTTTTTTTTATATACAGTGCTTTTGTTCCTCTGGATATTCCATATAAGAAGAACTCCACGGAGTGGGAGAAAATGAAGCTCCTGGTTGAAGAATTTGGAAGCAGTCGTAAGTGCAGTGTTCTGTTTCTATGCCCCTCTTCCCCCAGAGTGTCAAGAGTTTTGTATTAAGTCAGTTTGTCACTTCATTTAGGTATGCCTACTTTAAAATTGTGACGCATGTATGAGATGGTATGTGCATTTCTTAACTGAATTTTAAACGATCTTTTCCTTGGTAACTGAAAATTGAAATTTTTGTTTCTGTAGCCTGGGAATTGCCATACTTGGTCATAAGAGAGATGGTTGGAACTGTCTCCTATGAATTTGATACCAAACTCTGATAGTTCTACTGGCTTAACCTCATTCAGGATTCATCCCTTCAAAAACTGTTCTGGTGTTATGTCTTGGAATATCACTTATAAGGCATTTTATATTCATAGTCATTTTGAAGTAAGCCTACAAAGAAGTCTAGTTCAATGCCTTGCCTGAGACAGAATCATCCTTATCCAAACCATCCCATACAGCTATAACCTAAACTCTGCATAAGACTACCATCATCCCTGACACACAACCTAGACCTAACACTCTAACTGACCCAGGTAAAGCAAGGGAACCAAGGCAGCTAATGTCCTGCTTCTGAGATGTTGTCAGTATATGCTCAAGAAGTCTTGGGTAGAAGGCCATGCCCCCTGCTGCAGAAAACAGCAAAAACCTTCATGGTCCTTGTCAATCTGACCATGGGGTAAAAAAAATTCCTGACTCCAAATATGGAGATCAGTTTGACTCTGAGCGGAGGAGCAAGATCCTTTAGACGGGAACCTCTGGCTTTTGTTCTTAGCAGGGGAATTGACACACCTCAGTTGAAGTCCCCAGCCTTGGCTGTAGCCAGCACCCAATGCCTTTGGGAAGCCTTAAAAACCCTTTGAAACATATACCAGGAAAAAGGAAGGGTGAGGTGGGGAGCAACTAGGCAAAGCCCAGAAGCATGGGAAATATCTATGGTAGAAAACCAGGCACAGCGATACCTAGATCATTCCTAACCCATGGCTGTCTCTAACCTTCAACACCTCCAATGATGGAGAGTCCACAACTTCCCTAGGCAGTCTGTCCCACTACCTTGCTATTCTCACAGTGAAGAATTTTTTTCCTAATATCCAATCTAAATTTACTTGTCTGTAACTTCAGGCCATTGGTCTGTATCCTCTTCTCTGCAGCAAGAGGGGAAAAAACGGTACTTGCCCTTTTTCTTTATGGTTGACCCTCAGGCATTTGAAGACTGCTCTCATGTCCCCTCTTCAGCACCTTTTCCGCAAGCTGAACATGTAGTACCTTTGGTCCCACTCACATGACTTGTCTTCTGTGGCAGGGCACTTGATGTGCCTGCCACTTGAAGAGATCGAGCAGCCTTTTGAGCCACTGGCATGTTGGGGTCAGGGCTAACGGCAGTCAGCTGACCCTGAGGGGTAGCAGATATAGCTGAGTCTTGTCAAAGGAGCTATGGGATTTGAAGGGAGTCGCCTGATTGGAGGATGACTGGGCTTAGGCAGGGGATTGGCCCAAATGGAGCAGAGCAGGCAATTGCATCTTGGGAGCTAGTGTAGGAACATCACCAACAGGAAGGTGGCTACAGGGTCGGACCCAAAGAGTACTAGTTGATGCGAGGTAGATCAGCGTGGCGCAGGGTGACCTGTGGAGTCCCTCAGGGCTCGGTACTTGGGCCGGTACTCTAACATTTTCATTAACGATCTGGATGTGGGAGTCAGATGCAAACTGGCCAAGTTTGCAGACGATACCAAATTATGGGGGAGGGTGGTCACACTGCAGGACAGGCTGGGGATACAGGCCGACTTGGACACATTTTCAAGGTGGGCTGACAAACTTGATGTCCTTTTAATATAGAGAAGTGTAAGGTGTTGCATCCTGGTAGGAAGAACCTTCAACATATTTACAGGCTCGGCAGTGCTATGTTTATTAGCACCGCAACTGAAAGGGGTTTGGGGGGGCGGGTCTTGATTGGCCATATGATGAATAGGATCAATGCGATGCCGTGGCTGGCAAAACAAACCAAACCCCGGTGTGCATCCACCAATGCATCTCATGCAAAACCAGGGAAGTCATCCTCCTGCATTACTTGGCCCTGGTGAGCCTGCAGCTGGAGTACTGTTTCCAATATTGGGGGGCCCCCCATTTCAGGAAGGATGTGGAGAAGCTTGAGGGAGTCCAGAGGAGAGCCACTCATATGATCCATGGAGGCTGAGGGACTTGGGACTCCTTCAGTCTGGAGAAGAGAAGGCACAGGGGGGACTTGGTGACAGCCTACAATTACATAAGAGGAGTATATCAGGACCTGGGAGAACAGCTGTTCACCAGAGCTCTCCAAGGGATAACAAGGTCCAACAGCCATACACTCCAGGAAGGCTGACTTTTAGACTAGACATAAGAAAGAAGTCCTTTTACAGTGTGTGTGTCCAGGGTCTGGAACAGACTCCCCCCTGGAAGCTGGTACAAGCACCTGCTCTAGACTTTCAAAAGACAGGTTGGTGGGTTGGTGGTTTTTTTTTTTTTTTTTGCTGGGGTCACTTGATCCCAGCTGACTTCCTGCCTATGGCAGGGGGGCTGAACTTTGATCTCATGAGGTCCCTTCCAGCCCCTAATGTCTATGAAATGCATTAAATCTATGAAAGCTGCCACTCCTGAATGCTAGCAGGGAGAATGACATCCAGAGGTTTGGGTAGGAATGAAGGGGATGGAGGAGATTCCTGGGGACCCAGTGTGGGGTTCAGAGCCCTGAGAAAGGGGCTGAGTGCCTGGGACCTGTTGAGAGGAGGGTTCAGGACAGGACCAGAGAGGAGCTGTGCACCCAGGGGCCTTGTGAGAGACCAGGAGGGGCCCAGATGAGCCCAGAGAAGGAAGGAGGTTGTGTTTAAGAAAGACCTATTGGGTGCTCTGGGTGAGCCCAGAGAGAGTGGTGGTATGATTTATTTCATAGATTTCATAGACATCAGGGCTGGAAGGGACCTCGGAAGATCATCGAGTCTAGCCCCCCGCCCAAAGGGCAGGAAGTCAGCTGGGGTCATAGGATCCCAGCAAGATAAGCATCCAGTTTCATCTTGAAGGTGTTCAATGAAGGCGCTTGAACCACCTCCGGTGGCAGGCTGTTCCAGACCTTGGGGGCTCGGACAGTAAAGAAATTCTTCCTTATGTCCAGCCTGAAACGATCTTGAAGTAGTTTGTGACCATTCGACCTCGTCATCCCTTGGGGCGCTCTGGTGAACAAACGTTCCCCCAGATGCTGGTGGTCACCCCTGATAAACTTGTAGGTGGCCATCAGATCACCCCTGAGCCTGCGCTTTTTCAGGCTAAAGAGCCCCAGGGCTCTCAGCCTGTCATCGTAGGGTCTGCTTCCCTGACCTCTGATCATGCGCGTGGCTCTTCTCTGGACTCTCTCAAGCTTCTCCACATCCTTTTTGAATTGTGGAGCCCAAAACTGGACACAGTACTCCAGCTGCGGCCTCACTAAGGCCGAGTACAGGGGGAGAATGACGTCCCGAGATTTGCTTGAG